TCCTAAAACCAAGTTTTTTTGACAAAATTTCATCAACCTCGAGTCTTCCATCGCTTACAATTTTCATTTTAATTACCTACTCGTACAAAAAAAAAAAAAAACAAAACCAAATCAAACCGAACTATTTCGAAATACTCGAAATGTTGGCCAAACGGCGACAACCAAATTGAACGCGAGTCCTTAGGCGAGACCTTCATTTTTCGAATGCAAATTCTGAAAGATCCACACTCTCCTAATTATCGATTTGCGTCAGGATCGGCGGAACGAAGACTGGCGAAAACAGCCCATCTATAAAGTCCACAGATAACAGTTCTCCCAAATCAAATGTGTTCTTTTCTGTGGTAGTAAAGTACTTGGCTATTCTGGCAAAAATAATTTAGAAATAATTTTTAACAGTTATATGTAAATATATGCTCTTTTATTTTTTCGGAAATTATATTTCTGGAGAAGCAGATAGATGCTTGGTAAAAAAGGTAATTTCATATAGAAAATAAACTATTCTTTTTTAAAAAAGTAGATATCTTGCAAGCGGCTGAAGATGGACGACACTACACTACAGGAAAAAAGATTACCTGGCTCAGAAAATATAAATATAGAAAGATCAGTTATCTTCTATAGCGGTAACAACCAGAACGTACATCAATTCGGTACCGGCTTTTTTATTAAGAAAAACCTGCCGGACTCAGTCCTAAAGTTCGAACCCCTGAGCGAACGATTATGCTACCTAACCATGAAAGGAACATTCTAAAACTAGGTACTCCTTAGTCCTTACTGTCTGTACACGCAGCAACCGAAGATAAAAATGACGCAGTGAAGGACGAGTTCTACGATACCTTGGAGAGTGAAATAGGCGCACTACCTGAACAAGATATAAAACTTATTTTGGGAGATTTTAATGCAAAGCTAGGAAGAGAAGCGGCATTAAGGCCCCACGTGGGTACAAAAAACCTACACATGTTCACAAATGATAATGGACTAAGACTTGCGGAACTAGCAGCATCCAACAACCTCCTTATTAAATCTACAATGTATGAACATAAAGATATCCGAAACATGGGCCTCCAATGACGTTAGAACCAGAAACCAAATTGATCACGCCGTAATTGATGCAAGGCATGGAATAAACGTCCAGGAAGTAAGAAGCTGTCGAGGGGCAGACGCGGACTCGGACCATTATCCTGTTAGAGCAAAGCTGAGAACGAGAATATCAAGCTCAAAAAATGTACCATCCAAACAAGATCAACAGTGGGATACAGCAAAAATGGAAAACGAAGAAATCAGAAGGCGTTTTAGGCGGAAATAGAGCGCCGAAGCCAAGAAATTACAAACACAGCTGACATCGACACGAGTTGGAAAGTACTATCCGAAGCAATCGTAGGGGCACCAAGAGTGAGTAAAGCCAAGAAACAAAAATAGAATTCATTGGTACGATCCGGAATGTTAGAGGGTACTTGAGGAGAAAAATAATGCAAGACTAGTAATGATGCAGATTCCTACTCAAGACAATAGTAGTAAATTCAAACAACTAAGAAGAAATTCTAATAAACTACTAAGAAGGAAAAAAAGAGAACAACAAGATCAGGAGTTGCAGGAGCTGGAAGTCGATGGAGGGAACTATACCAGGAAATTCCATAAGAGAATAAGAACAAGAAAGAATGGCTTTCGACCCAGAACCAACAACATCATCAAGGACGACAACGGAGATCTAGTAATCAGGCAAGATCAAATGCTGCAAACATGGAAAAAGTACTTTGAACAACTACTTAATCAGGGTTATACAAACAACGAAGAACTGGCCAGCTTCCAAACTGCGGAAATGTCAGAAGAATACCCCCCTCGAATAAAAATTGTGAATGCTATAAAAAAGTTGAAAAACAATAAATGTCCGGGTAAAGACACGATAACTGCCGAACGCTTGAAACATGCCGGAAACACAGCCACATCCCAACTACACGATCTCATAAGAACTATCTGGAAAAACGAGAAGATCCCAGAATACTGGGAAGAAAGCACAATAATCCCTTCACACAAAAAAGGAGACAGAATGATATGCAAAAATTAAAGAGGAATATCGCTCATAAACGTAGCATAAAAAGTTCTATCAAATATAATCCTGTCGAGAATAACCCTATTCACAGAGGAGAAAATAGGAGACTATCAGTGCGGCTTTCGGACCAACCGATCAACAACCGACCGAGTGTTTACAATTAGACAACAATAGAAAAAAGCTGGGAATTCAATAGGCAGATACACCAATTGTTTATAGTTTTCCAACAGGCCTATGATAGTGTAAAAAGAGTTAAGATTTGGGAGACAATGGCAGAATTTGGGATACCTCATCATAAGATTATAAGATTAACAAGAGGTTGTGTAGAAGGTTCCAGATGCAGAGTGAAACTTGGGAGTGATATGTCGGACGTATTCAGGGTAGATACGGGATTGAAACAGGGTAACGCGCTGTCCCCGATTTTTTTAAATATTGCCTTGGAGAAGGTTGTAAGGGACTCCAAATTCGAAAACAGAGCTCCTCCAAAATGAATGGTTATCGCAACTAATACTTGCTTATGCGGACGATACTGACGTAGTGGAAACTAGCATAATAAATAGCAAAGCAACGTTTGTTAAATTGGAGCACGAGGCATCTAAAATGGGTCTAAGGATCAACGACGGCAAGACTAAATACATGCATTTTTCTAGGACAGGCAGAGGGAGAGTGGGACAAAATGTGACAATAAATAAGTAAAACTTTGAAAACGTCAAGCAGTTCAAGTACCTGGGTTCGATCATCACAGCCGACAATGACATCGGCGAGGAAATAAAGTACCTACCAAATAAAAACCGCAAACAACTGCTTCTATCCAAAGAAGTTACTAGAAGATCCAAAATCAAATTATACAAAACTGTCATCAGACATGTCATCATGTACGGCCGTGAATCGTGGACGCTAACGGTACTAAATGAGGAGGTCATCCGTAGATTCGAGAGGCGAATACTTAGGGAAGTATACGGCCCGACAAAGGACTCACAGACGCAGCAATACAGAAGTAAAACGAATGCAGAACTGAGAGACCTATACGATGAACCAGATCTGCGCAACATAATAATAAAGGCTCAACGGCTTAGGCTTGGTTTCCTCGAACAATCGGTCGCGGAGAGCGGACAGTCCGTCGATCGCCGAGGCTAGCGATTTCTGCCCGAAGTGGTTTGCTAGAAATAGAAAATAGTTTCCCTGTGTCCGCGACATGTGAGCGGTGTGTGTATTTTGATATTAAGAATGTCTCTAAGTGCTGTAGTTCAGCTGGGCGACGCCGCTGTAATCAAACTCGAGAGATATAAACTGACAAGTCTGCCACAGGTCTGCGGAGCGGACCCGCTCAGGAAAGCGGATTCGAAGAAGCCAGACTATTTGAAATGCTCTGGTTGGATAAAATCGTCAAATAGCGACGGTCGACGGACTGTCCCCTCTCCGCGACCGAATGTTCGAGGAAAACAGGCCTTGAAGGCCTCTTACCTGAGCGGGGCCGCTGCGCTTCGCAAACCTGTGGCGACTTCTGGGTTCATATCTGTCGAGTTTGATTACAGCGGAGTCGCCAACATTTTTAATATCAAAATTCACACACCGCGCACAAGTCGCGGACACAAGGAAAGTATTTTCTATTCCTAGCAAACCACTTCGGGCAGAAATCGCTATCCTCGGCGATCGACGGACTGTCTGCTTTCCGCTACCGAATGTTCGAGGAAACCAGGCCTTTAGATGGGCAGGACACGTGCATAGGCGAACAAAGGCTAATACCACTGGGATGGTAGGAAGCTCCAGAGGGAAAATGGCCACTTGGAAGACCCAGATTGAGATGGCGGAAAAACATTGCTGCGAATCTGAGAAAACTGGGCATCGAAAATGACACGCAGCTTATGACCGATCATGTCCGATGGAGGCAAGTCGTCGCGTCAGCCTAAGCCCAAGAGGAGCTGTAGCGCTACGGAGTAAAGTGGAGTTAATATAGATGCGAATCACGAATTGCGAATTGCGGAGGCCGCACCTATTGGTCAGTCCACTGTCAAGAAAAGGGACATCTGTCAGAGTTCAATATTTTGCGAATTCGCTAAATTTGAAATTTAGGAGGCGGGAAAATTGGAATTGGTTTATTATTTTGCGATATTCGTTGCGGATTTTATGTCAGCGCATGCGTATTTCAAAAATGCTGTTGTCAGCTGCTCCTTCAGTTGTTTTGTTTACATTTCGGCTTTGACCATTTCATTTAGGATTCTTCGATTTTGTCTCGTCTTTGTGATTCTTGTCATTTAGTTTTTTATGATTTGCTGTGTGTTTTCTTTATTGTTTGCAATATTTTCCATGGTAATTTTATCTGTTATTTTTCTCTCAGTCTCATTTATTGGACTAAATTATAATATTATGCTCCTTGTTATTCTATCTTGGCACCTAAATTTCTTTCTTACAAATTCCAACAAACAATGAGAAACAACAAAAACAATTATTTAAGATTATAACCAAAGAAAACATGTAAATATTAGTTTCAACACTCCAGTGTGGCACCGAAAAATAAAATAAATATTCCTAGAATGATTGCGAAGTTCGCATCTAGATGAAAGTGCTGAAAAACGCCGATTTTTCGCATCTATATGAACTACGCTTAAGTAAGTCTTAGCCAAAAAAGTACAAGAAATAATTCTTTGCTGGCAATTTTCTCCGTGTCGACCTTATTTTATTTAGTACCTACGTCATTAGTATTCCATGTGGAAATAGTCTCTCTCTTTCATTATTTTGGCATAAGTTCAGTTTCAAGCTGAATGGATGAAACGCAATCCACATCGTCTGAAATTACCTGAAAAATAGGTAACTATCCAATAATACAACAATACAGTTGACGGGAATCTTATTCGCTAATGGACAGAATATGCTGGATTACACCGTACAATCCCCAAAAATATCTGGTCCAAATATTACTCTAAAAAGCAGTGTTTAGCTGTAAATTGTCTTTTTATTGCAATAACTATTTATATTTCACAAAACAATTTCAAATACATTACTTTTTCTGTCCTAATATGTATAATTAATTTTCTATTTTTGTTCTAACTTCATTGTAATCAATTTTGTAAGAAGGTGTACACATTGGCACTATTTAACAACATGAACAGAAATAGAAAATAAAAAAATGGTACCTGCAATGTGTTCATGGTTTGCTTACTTTAAGGACTACCATAATAATGAGAGCAAGACAATAAAGGTTGGACAATTTGGTTTTAATCCAAGAGACTTTCAACTAGTTTGGGTCGCTCCAAATGATCTTGCTTTCAATTATAGCAATTATATAAACCTACCTTATCTGATAAGACATCTAAAAAATAGTACCTATAATCATAAATAACACTTATTTAGAATAAATAAAGAATTTTTAAAATTCTTTTTTTTTTTTGCTTAAATTTAAAAATTGGTAAATTAAAATTATTTAGAAATCAGTAAATATTGCACTTAAATGAATTTAGAGAATTTATTATAAATCACTAGGTTGCTATAATTGGCAGTTTCTGGCAGGAAAAAAGATTTGAGTTGGAAAATGTTACTATTTACATAAAATTAGTCTGTACTTGAGAAGGGTGAAAGCCGGCAAGTTGAAAATGAGTTTTGCCGACAATAACGACAAGTCCTTAAACTTTAACCCGCATTAAAAACTGATCAGCAGCGAGCGGCAATAACTACTAGAACTAAAATAATATCTTTATCATTCAACACACGCACATAACCTCTTATAAAGAGTCTTTTAATAAAATTCCCTATTTAAATCACAATCACTTACTTAGTAGTAATTCCTAAGGCTTCATTTTCAATAATTGTAAGTCTTGCTTTGCTTAGTAATACGTCCTTCAGCTAGAAACGAAAACGAGCAATTAATTAAAAAAATTTGTTTTTGTTTTCTGAAGTGGAAGATAAAGATATCAATGATGTTATGTTAGAGATCTACACAGGAAAGACAAATTCGATTTGTCCGCCAATCTAGTGACGGAAACTGAAAATACCTGAAAAAATAAATATTCTACAAATAGTACCATGAATATAATACAGGGGGCTGTCAACCAAAAGTACATATTACATAATATCACTTAATAATCAACAAACCAACAAATTAACCAAGATGCAAGTTGAACAAGACGGACTGATACTCCATAGGCAGTATTGAGAAAATGTCAAATTTATTTGGTTTTTTCCATGTAAGGTGCTCTTATTTGATGTGAGGTTGTATTATATGTTTTATCTTCACCAGACAAAAAACCTACTCTTTAATCGTTAAAAATAAGTAGTTTGAGAGCAGGACCAACGAACTTCAATTTATTGTGTGAGAAGACCAGCGAACGGCAGTAATTTAAGATTCTTTTCCTGTAAAGATACTAATTTTGCCTAATGGCGCTAATGCCAAAAAATGCCGAGGTTTGAGGCATACGCCGTTTTTTTGGCAAAAATGACTGACGTAGAGAGGATTGATAAGGCGCTACAAGGGAACATGAGGAATTGCGAAGTCCTCTGCAAAGAGCTTGGTGGATATGCCAGAGATTCTAATCAGCCTTGAGCAGCTAATGACGGACATTATCAGAATTAGCGGCGGAAACAAGGCTCTGAAGGACGCTAGGCCCTGCAACGAAGGTCCCCCCTAAGAGGAAGAAGACGATTTTCAACTCTCCGGAGTCCGCTTCCGCTTCCGATATTGAAATGGACGAGGAAACCTCCAGAAAGCGGTCCAAGAAGACATGGATACAGAAAACTCCAGCGATGAGTAGGCGTTGCTCTCAAAACAGGACGAAGAAACCTGATCCAGCCAAAACAATATCGCCAGCCGTGACGATTGAAAGAAGGCACGTGATCATCGACAATGACAGAGAATTGGAGAGAAACACGAAAAATCGATTCCAAAAATTCAGAGGTCTGCAGGTCCCTTACTATACGTCGGATGAAAAGAGGCCATATTTTATGCAGCTGTCGGCGAAGAACTATGGGACCTCAAACGCCCGATGTTTCTGGAAGTCAAATTTGATTCAAATATTCGTTCTATACAGACGCAGCAATGTTACAGATGCTAGAGATTCGGGTACACCTAATTCCGATGCAGTTTTCCTAAGTCCGTTCTCACCGCACAGTTGCCAAAAAGCGACAAAAGAGGAAAGGCGAAACGCCAGATGCGTATATTGGAATTATGCTGGATATCCTGCAAGCTGCCGCAGTTGCCCGAAGTATCCGAAGCCTGCTGCCTCCCGGGAGGTCGGAGGGGGCAGAAGGGCAACCTTATCGAAAACGTATTCCCAGCAGTCAAGAAGATGGACCTTGTAACCACCTACTCAGCGACTGCCAGCCAGAACGCGCGTAGCATCATCAGGTTCAATCAAAAGAATCACGGCAGCTCTGTTGCCAGCGATCGTCAACAATAATCGGCGATGAAGAAGCATCTACTGAAGATTATCCCCTGGAATGTCAGGGGAATCAGAGCGCGGAAACCATGATTTTTATAGTATGCAGAGAATAACATCTAGCGGATACACAAAGTACCGATGAAGCAGGCCAGTAGCTAAGGGGGGAGTAGGAGTACTAGTAAAAAGAGGACTAGAATACTTTCTAGGAATCAACGAAAAATGTGGGATAGAGGCAGTAACCGTTGAAGTTGAGATATTCAGAGGAAACCTAAAAGTAGCTTCGGCTGCATCGAGGATCTACTACAGGGAACAAATTACACCATCGTCATTGGAGATTTCAACAGCAAATCTACAGCTTGAAAGTCCAAAATTAGGAATGCGAACTGAGATAGACGAATGGAGTACAAGGAAGCAAGAAGAACCACCATCAACGGCCCGAAATCACCCACGTGGCTACCCTTTAGTCGTTATTGATCAGCAATATTTGACATAGCTGTTATTTGGAATGTAGCAGAAGACTTCTAAATAGAAACAATTAGAGGATGTACTTCGGATCATAATCTAGTACAACTGACTAGCGGAAAAAGATTACGAGAAGAAAACAACCCACCTACCGACTAGCTGAAACAAGTTTAGGCAAAATAGTCGACCAAGTGATTCACAACATCCGACAACTGAAACACGAATATATCCTACTCCATCTTGATATTAGACCAGTTTCCGCAGTGCTAGAAGCATGCGTAAGTCATCATGCTCAGCAAAGCTGGAAACGACAAAAAGTTTCCACTGAAGTAGCATCCCATCAGCATATTGCCCCTTTTGGACAAGGTTTCAGAGAGAGAGACATCAATTCCAGGATGGTACAGAAAACTGAAGACCTGGAATTGATTCCAGAACACGTCACCAATGAACTTAATCCGAAGAACACAGAGCCGTCTTCCTAGACAAATGAGTCACAAGACTCTATGCGAAGAAAAGTAGACTGCGGCCTTACAGTGGAATTTGTATCAGAGAAGAATGTCGAGGTCAAAGAATTAATTGGAATCTCAACTGCTTCAATTCCGCATCACCGCTGGATTCAATGGAGAATTAACACACACATACCTCTAATTATTCTTTCAATCTTAAATATTAGATGATTCCAAGCTCCAAGAGGCAGGAGCACAACTTTTGATCAAAAAAAGACAACCTATATTTTAATGCGGAAGTACAACTATCGGGGATGAACGAGCAGAAACACTTTCCGATGGAGAATTCAACCATCATAGGTCATTTCAGCCGGAATGGATCAATCGTCTATCTGAGAAGAACCCGTTTGGTAGGTCGTGAAGGTGGTGGTGGGTAAGTAAAAAAAGTGAGTGAAAAAGACCATTTTTCAAAAGGGAAATTCTCATCATCTTCAATTGAACACCCGCCTGGTATATCACAACCTTGAAAAAAAAACCAGTCAAGTCCTAAGGTATCCATGCACCAATAAACTCTGGCACAGCCCCCTACACTTACAAGCCATGAAGTTGGAAATGACGGCAACGTCGCGTATGGTGCTATTTTGTTATCGAGGTTATTGTTTCTGTGTATTGCGTTCATTGTATATTGTTGTAGTTTAGTATTTTTGTGGGCATTATTGACGAAAAAGTGGATAGAAACACACCGATATATTGCCCATATTTAGTTGATACCTGTTCCTTTGTGCTTTGATTGCAAATTTTCAGCAAATGGGTACAGCAGCAAAAATGAAGGTAATGTAAGGTTAAAACAATAAAAACAATATTAATATTGTGCAAGAGCATAGGTCTCGATATATTACCTAAGATATTTAAACTTTTTTCCAGATGCCATGAAACTACTGTGTGGTGCAAATCGAACTAGGAGTTCCTTAAAACCTGAAGAAATGCAAACATTTATTTCCAAAAAAATTCTGAAATGTAGAAGTTGTGAATGAAAGCAATACACCAAGATAATTATACCCGAGATTGGCGAGATTATACCATAACGAAAAATTCTGTGGTGTGTTGTGAACATTTTGAAGAAACCGAAATAATTAGATTTGAAAGAAACAAGAATAAAGGAGTAATTCGAGAGTTCAAACTAAAAGTCCAACTCTTAAAAGTACCTCTTATTTTCGGAAATCAGCTCAAGTATTTGAATAAACCTGCCTTCTGAAAAAATCCCGAAGAAAGAAAAAGTTAGATTTTCAAAAGACATACTGAAACATAGGCTTATAACACTTTAGAATCTAGAAATATATTCATTTAAATCAATTATTTACTGTTCTTATTTACACTTATAGTTATATTATTCCTTGAATTACTGTTTTTGACCCTTTAGTACAATAAATGATGCATTTTTTGTCATTATTATTAACAAAATAAAAAATATATACTTATAAAAACAAACAGCACCAGCACCACTTGGCGGTAAGATTGCGGTGTTGCCTTTTTAACTTCATGGCTTGTTAAGTGTAGGAGGCTGTGACTCTGGCCATGAAACTTCAAGTTTTAGTCATAAAAGATTAAAATAGAAATTATTTGGTTTTTGCAAACCCATTTTCAATTAGCATATTACCTAACTATTATTATTGATGAAGAAAATAATATAATAATGTATGTACACTATTTGAAGCGATTTCCCCAGATATTCAAGACGATTCATTCAACCATTCTCTGCTCTGGAATCGAACGGCCAACGTAAACCGACAGAAATTGTTTGAGTATTATCAAACTTTGGTATTATACTCTTTTCATCAATTTTTGATCAAGCAAAGATAATTTGGCAGCGGGTCTCTTGGTAAATATGCTCACAATAAACTACCTACTACTAATAATCCAACATTTCTTTTTTAATTCTTCACAGCTAAACCAGGAAGTTTTAAAGTCGGTGTTTATTGGTACCTACATGGCTTTTTTTAACGCTGTGTGTACGGGTATTTGATTATATTTGGCACCATACCTACAGCCTTTACTATTTAAGATAGAAGAAAATTGTAAATACAAAACTTGACAGTTTTTTTCTATATTTTCTGATAACGTTATCAGAAAAAACAAAATCGCATCGAAAAATGGAGAAACGTAGACAACTTCGACTTTTTAAAATGGAACACCCTGTATATTTTGCGATAAAATGAAAGACCTTTTCTTCCTGATTACAAATATATATATATATGTTGACCACATTTGCGTCACCATCTTTGACATATCTTAGCTTAAATTATAACTAAATTACAAAGAAATTTTATAAAGATAGAGATCCTTATGGAACTTCTCTGCAAATTCTTTATAATTTAACCTTAGATATGTCAAAATATGGTCACGCAAATGTTATCAATATATATATATATTTGGAAACAGAAAGAATAGATCTTTCATTTTATCGCATAATATACAGGGTGTTCTATTAAATAAAGTCGAAGTTGCTTACGTTTCTCCTTTTTCCGATGCGATTTTGTTTTTTCTGATAACGTTATCAGAAAATATAGAAAAAAACTGTCAAGTTTTGTATTTAAAATTTTTTTCTATCTTAAATAGTAAAGGCTGTAGGTATGCCAAATATAATCAAATACCCTGTACAGGAGGGTGTTCCATTTAAAATAGTTGAGCAATTCGCATAAGTTGAATAATGGCGTTTTTTGTACTCGCTCTGAATAAGCATTAAAAAAAAATTTAAAAACTTTATACGAAGAGAAGTAGAATTGCGCAAACCGCAGGTGGCTAGTACGGCTGGTTCAAAAGTTATAAGCATTCTCTGCACTCTCTGACATTACTCAAATAATGCAAAATTAGGAGAAACATATTATTGAGGTTAATGCATGCAAGAACAAATTGCCCATGCAAAATCTTTTCATACAAATATTATAATTGCGCGTGCAATATCGCATGAATTGATATTTGAATTGGCTTGATGCTTAGGTACCTATCAGAAAATCAGTATCTGAGAATTTGGAATATAATACTAGCAGTCACAATACACTGTTTTCATTAAAAACACTGCAGAACTGAAAGTCCTCACCGTTCGGTAGTCAAGTCAGGGTATTGTCCAGTTTTTAGCTGAAACAAAGTAGTCCTATGATATTACCCTAATAGTTTGGGTTAGTTTTTTAAAAAGTGTGGGTTGCTAGTTTTGTTGAAATTGAACTTAATGTAAGCTTAGTCGGAGTTTTAACACGTATTACAGGTTCGAGGTGGCAGGCAAGGTCACGTCGGTGAGATCCAAGTTGAGCTTCAGGACGGGCATAAACTAATTATTGTTTTCGAACTAAGAATTGGACGAAAGTTTGTCAGAACAGGTATGCCATTTTGCTTTGGGGGCTTTAATCGATTTTTAGCTACCTACCAGTGCCTTTAGGAAAAATTTTAATTTTTATTAGCTACTGCTAGTACCATGTTCCAAATTCTTGCTGCTTTTTTTTTCTTCCAAGGGATTAAGGCAACGCAAGCATAAAAACCATTCACAACTACTTTTAAACATCATAAATCAGCCCGTCCAAACCTCTTGCTTCTTTGTTGGTTTGCAAGTTACTTAGCATCGAATGGAACACCATGTATAAGGAATGTTGAAGACTACAAAATGATTTTCTGAAAAAAGATCTACAATGCACAAGAAGATCCAAAGAGGAGATGATCGGCAATTCCTCTTACCCTTCAATTCTGACCACCAGATGTCGCTGCTACAGTCTTGTTCAACGTACTACTATCTCCATAGTAACTGGCAGCGTTGTACGACCTCTTGAGATAGTTGTTGTTAATATTGTCATTGTAACCGAACCCCACGTTGCCATAAGGGTTCTCCGTGGTAGTGGTCGTGCTGAACTTTTTACCAAAGTCCCTAAAGTCGTAAGGACTCCTTGTGGTTTGCTTGATTAGCGCGTAATAGTTGCCGATGTAAGGATTCAAAGTGGTTGTGGAGATAACGGGATTTTTACTATTACTAGTAGTGGATGCTATGAGCCAGCCCCAAGATAAAGGCTTTTGTGTTGTGCTGCTAATGCTAGTGGGAGTACTAGTACTAGTGAAAAAATTTCTATTATTGTTAACGTAAGATTGTTTTGGATTTTTGGGTTTATAATTATCGGTGTTTTGATAAATAGTATTGGGACGGATAAAATCATTAGGTGGGGCAGGATCAGGTACATCTTCCGAGCTATCGTCTGAGAACCTATTTTATGAATTTTTGATAAAAACAAAAACATATTTAGGAAAAAAACATAAAATACTCACAAAGGCCTTCCGATGTTGCCGTTCGGTCTGACGTACGACGGCTGGTTTTGTGAGTAATCTGGAATGATATTTTCGTGTTCGGCCACACAGCGTCCGTTCAGACAAAACTGGAAAGAAAAAGGATCATAAAAAAGCTTAAAAAAAAAGGGACACTGTGAATTTTTGATTGATCAGTAAATATGCCTACGACAATGTATTGCAAGTGTGACAGAGATAGTCTTGGTATGGAGCTAGTTGGAGGCTCATTTTATAGACAATTGATTATTCAATAATAATCTTATGTTGCTAAGTGCGAATGCAGCAAAGTACTGCAATCTCACCTTGCTTCCGCTACAGAAAATATTTAATTGCACATTTGCAGTTGGTTTTTCTCTTGTGTAAAATATGCTCTAAAAGTCAAAATGTTTACCTGTCCATCTCCACAAGCCGATCCTTCAGCAGCAGGCCGATAAGCTACACAGTAGCCGCTGCCAGAGTCAAAGCAAAATAATTGTGCGCAAACTCTTTCGTCTTTCTGCAATAATAATCAAGATATTAAAAGTGAAAAGCAAAATAATTCAAGTATTAGTATAAATAAATTTTATTAAATAAACCCTGCTACATGAAGTACTGAAAATAAATTCCTATTAAAATAATATAGAGATTTGTGCTTACAAAGCATGCGCTCGTTCCTCTATCTCTCCTACATTGTGCGTCCAGGGTCAGCAATTTTCCAGGCAAAACCCTCGGGAGATTTTCGTCTTCATGTGGAGAGTTGTACAAACATGTTGCCGTATCACCACTGATGAAATTAATTTCATTAATTATTAGACTTCAAAAACAAGTTGAAATAATGTTACTTTAAAAAGTGATGAAAACTGGAAACGCTGCACGAAGACCACCTGAAGCCCCGTTCAGTATGTCTTAGGTCGGACATGATGAAACCATCAGCCCATTGGCATTTTTCGGCTCCTGGCCCTCCTAGATAGGAAGGTGGCGGGCTACCGTCATGAACAGCACCCAATCTGATTGGACAAAATTGTTGTTAGGGTCTTGTAGAATATTTTATTTCTTTCGAAAGTGTCTTATTGTTCTATATTTCTGATAACCTTTAAATTATTTACATCTTGCATCAATTTCAAAGACTACAGAAATATAGTTGCAAATTATGAAAACCACAGAAATATAACCTCATTTTTACACAGTCTATGAAAGAATTTCGTTGGCAAGCACTTACAAATGTCCAACTTCGTGTGCAGCGACAATAATTCCACTGAATCCGCCAGTGTCTTCGATGATAGCCACAGAGTTGACTTTTTCGAGTCGTTTGTTGACCACGCAGGCACCACCAACGTAGGCGAATCCTAAAATAGCGTTATAAAGGCCCATTGAGGGTTCAGCTTTTTTTTACAAGATAATCAACATACCAAAACCGTGTGAATTTGGCCATTAGTTTTAAGTTCCAACACCGTTAAGCTGCGGATAATAGTTATTACAATACATTTTTGTAAGCAACCCAGCAAATTTAGCTTTGTTTCGGTTGCAATTCGAACCAGATCTAGAGCAAATTAGAATATTTGTCTCACAATAATTACTAGGTTATGTTATGACAGAAAACTAATTTGTGCTTGGATGATTCTAAAATTTGTTTTGATTTAAACCAAAGCCAAGCTTGTTAAGCAGCATTTTTTAATTGAAAAAATGTCATATTTGGATAACTATAGAACAAAAGTAAAAGAAGAAAACTACTGAAAATGAGATAAAATTGACATGTGCGATGAACTAGCGAGGATAAAAATAGGAAATCTGGACATACAAATATCTTACAGAATACTAAAAAGTAAAAATACAAGATACCTACAATGGTTCTAGAGCGTGATTTTGTGACTACAAAAGACAAATAATGCAAGGTTTAAGGTATACGCTACGAAGGGTAAAATAGGTGATTTTATGGTGCACTAATGGCCGATTCCAACCAAGCAGCTCGGCGCGGCGCAGCAAAATTTTGCTTAGCTCATCGTTTACTTGTATGGCGCTACGTCGCGTTAATACACGCAAACATTTATTGTAAGGATCAGTTTGCTGCGCTGTGTCAAGCTGCTCGATGCAACTTAGATAGGATTCGGCGTTAAGTGGGGAAAAATTCAGCTTTAAAGTGACATAAATAGGTAGGTACACATAGAAAAGTGGGAATTGTGATTTTATCTTTATTTTTTTTTTGGTACCTGCAGTGCCACGATTACATTGGTCATTGGCGTATGCTCTTCTACACATGTCTAGTCTGGAAAAAAATAACGAAAACACCTAAATAATTTGAAATTTGAGTATTTTTTTTAACCAAAATCCTTTCCTAAGTTAATACTTGTTGTTAATTAGAATGCCCTGGCGCCCCCTGTGTTAAATTTTAAATAAAATAAACAATTTTTATTTAGGCAGATCAAATTACCGGCTGTTCCTTTGGTACAGCGTCCGCCTTTTCTCCTTCTGCACATGTCGTATCTATATTTTTAATATTTATAAATAAAAGTTAAACAAATAAATAAATCGAAAATGAATTAACTTAGTTTCAAATTATTATTATTCTTACTTTGTTATTGCCACAGCGATATCGTAAACTGGTAATCGTCGTTCTCGGTATAAATATTTGCCCATGTCGGTTAAAGCTGCTGCAGAATCTATTGCGTCACGTCCTACTCGATTCCGCTCTAAATATGGTGTAGCGTCTCTACCCTAAACAAAAAATAGATAAATAATTTTTTGAAAAATACATTTTTAGTTTTGTTTTCTGCGTCGATAATCAACCGGAAACTAATGCGTCTTATCTTTTACCCGTCGTATCTCGGATTAAGATTGATAACGGTAGCGATTATCATTCTATAATTTTGAGATCTTTTTATTTTCTGACACAGCCCAAATTTTTTCTATCGCTAACAATGGAAAAAGTGAAAAATCTATCCTAACCTTCCTAAAACCAACACACGCCTCAGGCTGATCACATTCAACCTGCTTCAAATTCTAACAAAGCTGCTGTCAAAAGAGCCCCTCAAGTTTCTTCAAAAAATCGATAGTAACAAGAAAATTAATTGTTGTGCCCTAAAAAAGAGTCCATCAGATGGAACATCCCTACAAATGATGCAGATGGAGCGGCGAGCATTGATGCTTACAAAGAAAATAATGAAATTTAGAAAGCATTAAGTACCTTAAACGCTATGAAATTGTCTCAAGAAACTATTTCATATGAGGTATCTAAAGTCTCAAATATTTCTCAAAAATAAACTGTTCATTTGATACCTACATATTTCGAAATCCCGAAACGTTTCTGCGGAAGGTAAAATAATTTAACTCCGCTATGCCAGTCCCAAGCGTGAGGTTAGATTAACCTAACGGAAAAAGAGGAGAGGCACGGGGCAGGGGTAACAACCTCAAAAAAAATACCAGTGTTCATTTGTTTAGGATTTTAGCACCCTTAAGAGGGCTTGTAATGTTGGCGTTGCGATTCGTTAAACACTATGTCCTTCAGCTTGCGGTGTTGAGGCATCAGATCCACTCTTTGATACTCGGAAAATACCTTTACTAATTTCAAATCCAAGCGGCAGTAAATAAGATCAACCAGATGGTAATCTAGCCTACCTATTGGTTAATACGTCTACAAGGACCGCTGCGCATGTGTCGAAGCTTCTGGGGAAAAAATCTACTTGTGGCATTTAGTGAAGTTTGGCTTTTGATGACGTTGAGTGATATTTTCCGAGATCTTTCTTAAATGATTATAATGTCCAGTACCTACATACACATAGCTGACGAAAACGATCGCGGAGAATTTGAGTCGTTGATTCAACCGGTCGCGGCAAACGAAAAACCGCGGGTCCATTCCTTCGAACGACACGAAGCGGGTGAAGTGTTTATGGCAACTGGTACTGCTTGTCGGCAGGAAATGTCAGGATTTGCCGATACCCTTTTCAGTGTTTAACGCGCGCATTTTCAAAAGCCAAATTTAGCAAAGCCGTTTCATTCTCAGGCATAGAGCACGCGCAATTCAATTAGAATAAGAGAAAACAAAAAATAAAGAAAAACGAATCAATTTCCATTCCCAACTATGTACAGGGCGCGTAGACGAAACTGAACATTCCGCCCACCTGAAATGCGATACATTTTACACATTGGGTAAAGCGCAAAGCTTTACCAGAAGTCTTTGAAGAAGACCGTGAACAGTTCTGATGGTGGCTACTCGGGCAATTCTATCAGAACCAGGATGCAACTGGACGACCCTACCCATTCTCCATTTCAACGGAGGAAGTTGATCGTTTTCTACTAATACGGCCGAGTTTATATCAAGTTCAGGGATTCCATTGTCCCACTTTTGCCGTTCCTGAAGAGTCTTTAGGTAGGACAAATGCCATCTTTTCCAAAAATCTTGCTGCAATCTTTGGAAAAGTTGCCAGCGGTTTAAGCGATTTAACGCAAGATGCGCGAGGTCTGGATCTGGAAGGCAAGTAAGAGGTTCTGGAGTTAAGAACGGATATAAAGGTCTGGAGTTTAGAATAGACTCTACCTGACAAATTACCGTATATAATTCCTCATATGATAGAACCTGCTGACCAATTATTTTGACGAGAAAGGATTTAGCGGCCTTGATTCCCGCCTCGAATAGCCCACCAAAATGGGGGGAGGAAGGAGGATTGAAACACCATTTTACCTTTTCTGCATGGCAAGACATCTCGAACATTTAATCGAGCTCTTTAGCAGTGGCGACAAAGTTAGTACCTTGATCGCTGAATAGCATGCTGCATTGCCCCCGCCTGGCGACGAACCTGCGCAACCCAGCAAGGCAGGCTTCCATGGTCAATTCGGAGGCTAACTCTAAATGTATGGCCTTGGTAGCTGCACACACAAATAGGCAGATGTAAGCCTTTTGGGTCTTGCAACCGCGGGATTTGGATAAAGCCACAAATAAGAGAACACCATAGTCTACTCCAACAATGGAAAAGGGTTTTATTTGATTTACTCTGTAGGAGGGTAAATTTCCCATTGGAGGTTGCAAAGTCGTGGGTCGAAGTCGAAAGCATTTTAAACATTTACCTAATCTCTGACGAATAGCTCGACGAGCTGATAATATCCAGAAATTTTGAGATATTAGGTATTGGAGGGTCTGAGGACCAGCATGGAAATTCTTTCGATAGGCTTCTTCAATAATCAAGTCCGTGAGGCGATGTTGCCTAGGTAATAGCGCGGGATGCTTATGATCGTAGGCCAGATTCGAGTGAGCGAGTCTACCGCCCACCCGGAGGACACCCTGATCGTCAAGGAAGGGAGAAAGTTTACGAAGAGGTTTCTTTCTCTCAAGATTGGTAATGTCTTGCGAAAATACTTTATGTTGTACTTGCTTAACTAGAAGCAGTAGAGCTTCGTGTAATTCAAATTGGTTAAATGGTTCGATCGCTCGAAGCTCTTTTTTAAGGCGAAGATTGTTGATAAATCTGAGCGAATGAGCAACAATACGTTGTATACGACAGAGGGACGAATATCGCTCTAAGTAAGAATCTATGACTGAAAAGGGTGGAAAAGATACTAGAGAAATAGTTTTTTCTTCTTCAGCCATGATAGGATTATTGAGGGCAATCTCTTTAGAAATAGACCATGATTCGGAAGGATCCTCAAGCCAAGTTGGGCCCGCCCACCATAAGGAATGGTCGACAAGTTCCTGGGGGCATAGACCCCGTGATGCGCAAACAGCGGGATTGTGCTCTGAACGCACATGATACCAACACGAAGGAGGTATGTTCTCCTGAATTTCGGCCACTCGGTTTGAGATAAAGGTTTTTAGAATATGGGGTGATTTTCTGATACAAGCCAGAGCGACAGTTTAGTCTGAAAATGCATAGGTTTTCTCAACATTGATTTTATCGGAGTAGGTAATTAGAGTGAGTTGCATGAGCTTGCTAAGAAGGTGCGCGGCGCACAATTCCAGCCGAGGGAGACGTACTGTCTGGACAGGGGCTACTTTGGACTTGCCTGCTACCAACGAAATCTGAACATCTTTGCTCGCCGCAATTCTTAGGTAAACCACTGCGGCGTAGCCACACTCCGAACTATCGGCAAATCCATGCATCTAGCATGAAACAACTTGTCCTTGAAATAATGACCTAGGAATTTGAGCAGAGGATAAGACTAATATGCTTGGCGAAGAATGTGAGAGGGGCAAGAAACCCGCGGGGATCGAATATACGTGCTAAATTAGAGAGTATGACGCGTTTTGAACAATGTTTTGACACTATGTCTACAGAATACGAGAATGAATCACTGACAGCATTCCACTTGAGCCCGAGAATTTTTACGGACGAGGTGGAAGATTCTGGGTTGAAAGATAACGATTGTTCGATCCTTTCATCGGCAGGAATATAGGCAAGAAGTCGGGGATGATTGCTAACCCATTTTCTGAGTTCAAACCCACCTTTTTTAGCAAATAAATTAAGTCCCGCTGTGAAGCAAGGGCCTCCTCTAGCGAAGAAAAACTGGAAACGACATCGTCAACGTAGACGTCGGAAAGAAGAATTTTTGAACCGAGAGGATGATTACATTCTTCATCTTGAGCCAACTGAACAAGCGTTCTCTGGGCTAAGTAGGCGGAAGACGAAATGCCAAAGCTCACAGTCTGAAGTGCAAAGTCTTGTATGGGACTCTCTGGCGAGAAACGCCAAAGAATACGCTGATATTCACGTTGGTGGGGTATTATTAGAATTTGCCGATACATTTAGTTAACGTCAGCAGTGAAAACAAAGGGCTTGGCCCTGAAATTGCTTAGAACGTCGAATATTTCTTTTTGCAGTTTTGGCCCAGGAAGCAGAGTCTTGTTTAAAGAGCATCCTAAAGAATCAGACGCTGAAGCGCCGAATACAATTCTCATTTTTGTTGTAGCGCTTTCAGGCTTGAGCACGCAATGGTGTGGTATGTAGTAAAAGTGATCTGTCTGTGTCTGGAGTATTCGTTTGTAGTCGTTTATTATACGACTCGTATGTTGAAGCATCGTGCAGCAGCCTCTTTTCCATGGAGAGAAAACGGCGAAGCGCGATGGAACGTGAACTGTGGAAAGTAGGTTCCTGTCCTCGGAATGGCAGATGAACGGTGTATCGGCCGGTTTGATCACGACAAACAGTGTTGATGAATAGATCTTCGCATTTGGAGTCCTCGGAAGAACGGGATGTAAATTCGGGACCTTTTCAAGTTCCCAGAACCTTCGAAGTGTTCAATCGATCGACGCCTCGGAAGAAACAAGGAAGGAATAGGGAGTAGGTAGTGCCAATTCGCAAGCTGTTTTGCCTAAGAAGACCCATCCAAAGATGTTGTTGTAAGCAGAAGAAAGCCCGGAGTGACCTTCGATGCGACCTTCTCGAATGAAATGACCAAAAAGATCTGCTCCTAGGAGGGCGTCTATTGAACCAGGTGAGTTAAATTTAGGATCCGCCAGCGGAATATTGTGAATTGAATGCCAATTAATTGGCAACAGAGACCGGCATGACTGGCATTTTAGGGCATATGGTTTCTCTGTGACTGCCGCGCCAAAAGTGAAGGAAGGTCGCCACTGATCCGTGGGTTTGATTGTGCACTGCACGGATCCGAGAGACTTGGTTGAAGAGTGCCCTAGCCCAAAAACTGTGTTAGAACTGGAAAATCGTTGAAGGCCCAATCGGTTTGCGCATTTTGCCGTTATCGCGGTAATCTGACTGCAGCTGTCT